GATGATTAATCTGGGACTTACTAGGTTCCTTTTTGGACTTTCCTTTTTAATAGGAGGTTGCCCTCAGTTCCTTGCCATGTGGAGCCCCCCCATCAGCCGTTTAGTCATCAAAACCTGCAAAGGAGAGAGTCTCCTGGGAGGACAGATGTGACAATCTTCTATTACATAATCAGGAGGTGAGGTCCCGTCACTTTTGACATAGGCTATTGGTTAGAAGCAAGTCACAGGTCTTGCCCATACTTTGAGGGGGTTATATAACGATGTGACTAACAGGAGGTGGGAAACACGGAGGCCACCTGAGTGTCTGGGCTCCACAGCCAAACGTCCTGGGTTCAAATCCTGACCCCATCGCATAAGAGTTCAAGAAACATAAGCATTTATTAATCTCCAAGCCTCAGCTTCCTCATCTGTAAAATGAAAAATCTACTCACACCTTCATCCTAGGGTTATTAAATTCCAGAAATTCCTCATTTCCAGATACCCTTGTGCCATTTTCATGGTTGTTTTGCCTAATTTATATGCTTTGAGAAATATCACTCACTATCATCTCCCCTCTATAATGTAAATCAACATACTTAAAAAGCAAATTTAATAGTACTACTAGACATTTAAAAAATATTAGTATTACAGAAGATAATTGTAAACACACATTACCAGTAATAAAAGTTATTTGTCTGCATACCTCCAAAATTCACCCTGCACATCACTTGTGAAAGGTATATATGCCCCCTTGAGAGGTTGGGGCCAACAGAGCCTGCATGCCACAACTACTGAAGCCCACACGCCTAGAGCCCGTGCTCCGCGACAAAGACCCTGAGTTCATCTCCTCTCGTGAGCACACCAAAATCACAACTATCTGCAGAACAACCATCAATGAAAAAGACCAGAACCTACCAGAAAAGATCTTCCACAACTAAAGACAAAGAGAAGGAACCACAGCGAGACGGGTAGGAGGGGCAGACTCGTGATACAGTCAAGTCCCATATTCCCAGGGTGGGCGACCCACAAACTGGAGAATAATTACACTGCAGAGGTTCTCCCACGAGACTGTGACCTCTGAGCCCCACGTCAGGCTCCCCAGCCTGGGGGTCCTGCCCTGGGAAGACGGGCCCCCAGAGCATTTGGCTTTGAAGGTCGGCAGGGTTTAACTTCCGGAGCCCCCCAGGACTGCGGGGGAAATAGCGACGTCACTCTTAAAGGGCCACACAACCTCTCACGCGCACTAGGGCCCAGCACAAAAGCAGTAATTGGATAGGAGCCTGGGCCAGACCTACCTGCTGGTCTTGGAGAGTCTCCCGGAGAAGCGGGGGTGGCTGCTGCTCACTCTGGGGACACAGACACTGGCAGGTGGCATCCTCAGGAACCGTCCTACCGCGTGGACGCTGCCGCTTGCCGGCTTCCGGCGGCTGTCCTGGTGGGAGCCTCCCTCCAGCTCATTAGTGCCAAGGCCTGGCCCTACCCGACAGCCCATAGGTGCCAGTGCTGGACGCCTCAGGCCAGGCAACTGACTGGGCGGGGACCCAGCCCCACCCATCAGCAGACGGGCTGCCTCAAGACCCCCTGAGCTCACTGCCGCCTCTAGACACGGCCCTGCCCACAAGAGGGCCTCGGACGCAGCTCCGCCCCCCCCCCCCCCCCCCCCACCCCGCGTTGAGGCATCAGCTCCAGAATCCCCTGCGCCCTGGCCCTGCCCTCCAGGAAGCCGGCTCTGGCCTCGGGACCAGCCTCACCCACCAGGGCGCAGACAATAGAAAACCATAATCCCACAGGCCGCTCGTAGCAGGCCAGGCCCTTCGCCGAGACCAGCTGGGCCTGGCTCTGGCCAGGCCAACACAATCTTTGGGACGCCCCAGACCCCATACCCAGCTGTGTTAGGAGCTAGCTCCCTCCACCAGCGACCCGCCATCAGCCCTGAGATCCCTGGGCCCTGCAACCACACTCAGGCTGCTGGAGTCACCTGTGCTACCTTCTGTCGTAGTCACACCTCTGCTCTGAGCACGGATGGTTAAGTCTGCATGGGTTAAAGGTGCATATAATGCAACTCCCCTCCATCACCTGCTTATGAGTAGTAGTTGCCCCATAAATAATTTTCTGCTATTCAGAGGAGCAGTGCCAATCTTGTGTGTGGAATCTTGGCTACAAACATCGAGGAAATCCCTTGATCTCTCGATTCTCTCCTTCCTTCCTTAGTTCTTTTCCCTCCCCTCTTTTCTTGCCTCCCTCTCTCTCTCCAAAAATTATCTGGACATCTCAAAAGCCAAGTGGACAGCATTCCCAATGTATCCTCATGAACTGGTTTCCCATAAGCACCCATTAGACTTTTGTTTGAGCTAAAGAATGGAGGTGGCCTTCGGGGAGACAGAATGGGGACTGGAGGAGACATAACGATAAGCCACAGACGCTGAAGGGCATGTGTGATTGACAACAATCGTAACAGATCTGTCACGTTCACCTGGGCCGAGCAGTGTCCCACACACCCATCTACCAGGCTGTGGACAGGAGGTTGTGTGACTTGGCTGAGTCCTGGCTCAGCCACCTGTCAACAGGATGACTTTGGGGAAATGTGCCTGGATTTATTGGTCACCATAAAGTTCAGAAGCATTATTTATATAATCAGTTAAAAAAAAAACTTTTCCTTGTAAAAAACAGTTAAAGTTTGTTTAAACTCTGAGCTTCAGTTTCCTCCTCCACATCTGTAAAATGGAGGTAACATTAGCACATTTTTAGAGTGAGTGTATCAATCAGGGCTCCCCCTAAACAGAGACCAACAAATAGGATATATATATATATAGAGAGAGAGAGAGAGAGAGAGAGAGAGGGTCAGCCTCAGCCTCTGGGGGATTTCGATCATCCAGGAAGACATCCTCCAGGAAGCTTGAGCTGTGCTCTGATTGGTGCATAGGAGAGATGAACAGGTGAAGAAAGAGTGCTCCAGGAGGAAAGACATCAGGTGCAAAGACTCGGGGGCAGAGAGTGTTTAAAGAATAGAAGAGACTGGCAGAAGCCAGTGTGGCCAGAGTGCAGAGGCCTCCGGTGGCTCGGGTGCGCTGGGGCCTGTGGGTGAGTGGGCTGTACTTTACAAGACACCGAAGTCCAGCTTAAGGAACTGGATCTTTATGTGAGAGCAATGGGATGCCACAGAAGCAGGGCTGGGACACCGTCGGGCTTGGGTTTTAAAAAGACCAATATGGCCAATGGACAAAGAACAGTCTAGAAGGAAGCAAGATAGAGATCGGTTGGCAGTTTCTGCTGTGGTCCAGAGAGAAGGGGATGGTGGTGCGGATAGAAGTGAATGGAGTAAAAAAAGGAAAGTTATTTTGCCATTCAAATGATCATCTTTTGGTAAAGCTACTGTAAAATATTATTGTCATATTATATTGTAAACTAGCCACATGACAAAATTTTCTAGTGAGACAAAGTTTGAATGTTTAACTTTGGTTGTAAGAAATGCAGTGAAGGGGAGGGGCTTCCCTGGTGGCGTAGTGGTTAAGAATCCACCTGCCAATGCAGGCGGCTACGGGTTCAAGCCCTGGTCCAGGAAGATCCCACATGCCGCGGAGCAACTAAGCCTGTGTGCCACAACTACTGAGCCTGCATGCCACAACTACTGAAGCCCACACGCCTAGAGCCCGTGCTCCGCGACAAGAAAAGCCACTGCAATGAGAAGCCTGTGCACCACAACAAAGGGTAGCCCCCGCTCGCCGCAACTAGAGAAAGCCCATGTGCAGCAACGAAGATGCAACACAGCCATAAATAAATATATAAATTTTTTTAAAAAATGAAATGCAATGAAGGGGAAACATCTCACATATTTGAAAACTTTTATTCTTTTAGAGAATTCAAAGAAGATATACAGATGAAATCTGACAACACATGTGGATTTGTAATTCTAAAAAGAATTTCACAGCAGTGAGAAAGCATATACTTATTTTGGTGATGTGCACATATTTGTTCAAAATAAAGATATAAATGTACACTTCTGAAATAGTCTAAAAATGTAACCTAAAAAGGGAAATCTTTATCAAATATACAGAAACATATAGTATGCTTTTAGGAAAAGTAGTAGTAAAAACCTGTGCAAATAAACTACATGTAAACACAATTTTTAAGAGTTTTACAAGTATTGCTTAAATCTATATGCCTTTTCCATTTTTATGAAATCATATTTTCCCAAGGAGTTCAAGTCACATAACATGGTTTACCTAGTTAATCTATAATGTATGCACACTTTACTACTGAGCCATCTATAGCTGGGAAAATTAAGGCAGGGAAAGTCACTGAATATTTTTAAGCCATGACTAAACTTTAGAACATTGCCCTAAACTTCTAAGTCAAATATCATATATATATTTTTAAGTGATGTAAGCAAATTGCCGTTAGAATACACACACACACACACACACACACACACATACACACACACACACACACACACACAATTTAAAAACTACTGATCCAGTCCTTAATAGATTAAATAGACTCAATGCCATAATTAAATAATTTCAGGATCCTTTAACAAATGATGCCACAGTAAATCATTAAGGCATTCTTAGACAGGAGGTTTTGACTTCATTAAAGTACTTCTTAACATAGAGGTTTTCTCTAATTTTCCAATAATGTTTCTATTTCAAAACAAGAAAAAAAAACAATAGCTTCATAGAGACCTGATAACTTTAACCAATATTTAGTTTTGCTTCTATTATTAAGCAGTATTTCCCCAAATATATTAAACAGGGTTACAACAAATGGATCGTCAATACTACACAGGCCCCCAATAATCTAGATAGTCTTTCATTGTGAAATGTAAACTTCTGAGAAGTCAAGATTCCAGCAGTGAATCTGGTAAAGCTAGGACAGAAACATTTAGTGACTTTATTTATTTATTTATTTATTTATTTTGCGGTACGCGGGCCTCTCACTGTTGTGGCCTCTCCCGTTGCGGAGCACAGGCTCCGGACGCGCAGGCTCAGCGGCCATGGCTCACGGGCCCAGCCGCTCTGCGGCATGTGGGATCTCCCCGGACCGAGGCACGAACCCGGGTCCCCTGCATCAGCAGGCGGACTCTCAACCACTGCGCCACCAGGGAAGCCCCATTTAGTGACTTTTACCTGACCAACGGATAAGTGCCCAACTGCCCTATACAAGAGAAAACAGGATGATGAGCAATTCTGTGTAAGTCAGGGTGGTGCTGATGTCAGTTACGTGTAAGTTATGTGTAAGCAGGCGGTATACCCTGTAGAGTGCCTGGCATTCCAACAATCTGCTTTCCCTGAGCCAGATACCATCTTAATAAATACCATCAGCTACACAGACAGTACAGCTTCTAGAACAATTGTACAGAAGAAAGAGTATAAACACCTGGGACTAAATGTTCTTTACATGCTGTTTCATGCTCAGGGTTTTGATGTGTGCTTTCCTGTCATGCAGAAGCCCAAAGCCTCATTCTTGCAAAAGGGTAAAAATTGCTGCTCGTGGTCTTGGTAAAAAAAAAAAAATCTGGAAAATAAAGTATACCCCAATTATACATCAGAGCAGTATAGTTAAACAAGAGGAATTATTAGCAAAAAAATAAATGCTAAAACCAGTAGTGCCCTGGGCTCTTGTGTTTCACCAAGATAACTGTGCACACTGTCCTAGCTGAAGACTGAAAGTTTCGCAATTAAGCTAGAATTCCTTCATTATCCTACTTGATTCAACTCTGTTTGTTGGCATGTTCAGAATCTGACAATTGCCTAATGATACCAGACACGTAGGGAGGAATTCACTGGCCCTCATTCAGAAATTTCATCTGTAATTGCATGTTTCCCGAAATAATCCACCTATCAGCAAATACCCTTGCAGTTAGCAAATAGCAACTAGTTCTAGGCAAATTCTAGGTGATGTCGTTGAAAGGGAAGAGTGATTAAGACTGAGTTTTACCACTGACACCTAATTCTATAAAGCTATGTATCAGAAATGTCATATTTTCACATCTGATAATACTAGAGATTTCTCAGGCTAACTTCTTATCCCTTCAGTAGTTGAAAATTCATTTTATTGTGGATTGGGGGAAATAACTAGACTAAAAAAACACCATTTCATCAAGGAAATTAGAAATAAGGCTAAAGTATACTATTAGGCCTATGTTAATTTAAAGGAAATAATTAAGCAGCAATTAAATAGCTGATATATGAATATGGCAAAAATTATGAAGCTGGTATGAGAACACCCACACTGTCAGAAAAGGTAATAAATGGTATGTTGCAGAAAAAGTATTACATTGTATTTAATACAGGCTGGTAAATATCTCCTCTTCTATGCCAGGGATCTGTAAATCAAGACCCTATGGTCCAATAAGTACCACCACCTCTTTTTACAAATAAAGATTTATTGAAATACAGTACTGGTAGGCAGAATCATGGCCCTCAAAAAAGGCTTAGTCCCTAATCCCCAGAACCTGTGAATATATTGCTTTGCATTGCAAAGGGAGTGTTGCAGATGTGATTAAGGTTATGGACCTCGAAATGGGGAGATCATCCCGAATGATATCCTGTCTGAGAGATGCAATAGAAGAAGGATGAGGGATTTGAAGCCTAGACGCTAGTTGGCTTTGAAGATGGAGGAAGAGGTCATGAACCAAGGAATGGTGGTCTCTAGGAGCTGAGAATAACTCTTAGTTGATGCAAGAAAACAGAAACCTCAGTCTTACAGCCATAAGAAACTAAATTCTGCCAACAACAGAAATCTGTAAGGGAACAGATTCTCCCCTAGAGCTTCCAGAAAGGAACACAGCCCTGCCGAATGACAACTTGATTCTATCCTGGCAAGAGCTGTGTTGAATTTCTGACCTATAGAATGATAAAATAATAAATGTGTGCTATTTAATACAAGTTTTAGTAATTTGTAAGTAATTTGTTTTAGTAATTTGTTATGGCAACAATAGAAAACTAAGACAATAGTCACCCCTATTCATTGACCAGTTGTCTGAGGCTGCCCTGAGGTGGAGCAAAGTGGATGTGAGAGAGACCTTATGTCCTGCAAAGCCTAAAATATTTGCCAACTGGTCCTTTACAGAAAAAGTTTGCCCCCCACCCCGATATTCACAAGCAAAAACCATGACAAGCAGCTTGCATCTTGGAGCACTTAGTTGATGCCAGGCTCTGGGCCAGGTATTTTGTATTCATATCGTCTTTCTGGATGGATACTATTTTGGTCCCCATTTTACAAATGAAAAAAAAAATGTGAAGGCAGAAAGGTTAAGTAACTGTTCAAGGTCACCCAGTGAACCAACAGTGAGCAGGAACTCCAAGCCAAGTATGGTTGACTTCCAAGCTTGGCTCACCTCTTGGCCATTCTCCATACCCCAGATGCTCACCTGAGGCCTCCTATCTCTGGTGGAAAGCAACGGGGAGCTGTCGGCTGGGTACCAGGATGCCCAAGTGCAGCATCTCCACAGGCTCCTTGTCTGTGGCCACGATGTCATATTTGCGGACGATCTGGAACACAGAAGCACAAAAAAGCAGAATCACCCCTCTTCTCCTGCCTTGAGGAATAGCCCAGAATACAGCTGCAGAAATCCCATCAGGGTCTTACCCAGCAGAGAGCCAAGTGCAGCTGGAGCTCGGCTAATCGGCGACCAATGCACATTCTTTTCCCAACGCCAAATGGAAGATGGGCAAAAGGGTTGATCTTTTTCTTGTCTTGAAGCCATCGTTCGGGTCTAAACTGACTTGAATCTTCAAAATTTTCTTCACTGGACCCCAACACATGGGTATTTAGCATCAATACTGTCTAAAAACACACAGAAACACAAAGCACTTAAAGAAAACGTTTGAATAGCAAAATTTACAAAAGCCATCACCTTACAAATGTGAAAGTAACCCACAAAGGTATAATAATGATGAATGCCAACACGTATTGAGTGCTTGAAATGTGCCAGGTGATACTGGCACAATAAATAGGTCATGAACTTTAAAATGTTACATCACATTCTCACAACAATCCCATGTGGTAGGTTTTATTATTCCCATTTTACAGATGAGAAAACTGAGGCTCGCAGAGGTTATGTAACTCACTCAAGGCTATACTTGAATCCAGGTCTGTCTATGGAGACAGAAGACCATTATTCCTAATGCTAGACTACACAACACGTCAACTATATACTGCAATCTACACATTTCCAAAATGAATGCTCTCCCAGTAGAAACGTTTAGGGAGATCTGATGGATATTTGAAAAGGGTAAGGTACAGACTGTACAAATTCTACTTACTCCTTTCGGTAAAGCATATTCCCCCAGAACCATTGCTTTGTCAAGAGTTCGAGTTGTAAATGGCACACTCGGGGTAAGCCTGAAAAAACAAGATCAGAGATGTCTAAGTGGGCACGGACCAAGTTCTAGCTCAAGGGAATGCAGATTGTGGTTAAATAAATAGTTGCTGCCTGAGTTCTCAAAAAAGGAACATGATCGCAACTCTTTACAAAGAAGTTCTGTCTCTTTCTTCCCAATATTTACACCTCTTGTTTATATTCTTTATCTTATTGTGTTGGTTAAACCCCCAAGTACAAGTCTGCTTCATAGCTGTTAACAGTGTTTGTTCGGTTTCATTCCCCGTACACATTCAAATGTGTACATTGACATGCTTCGCCCTCAAGCTTGTTGTTTGTTCTCGGTTTCTCCTAACTACCCTTCATGAAGTTAAAGATATTTCCTTCTGACCCTAAGACATTGTGAGCTTTGCTTTCCAGAAAAAGAATTTTCAAAGAATATTTTATACAGCGGCTCAAAACCAAAGGTGTCTCTATGTCTTATATAATAATATGGTTCCTTGCTGAGGTTTCATCTCACATCCTTCAATCGTGCCCCTAATCTTAATTATTGCTCATAGCGTCCATTAGAGTATTATGATTACTGATGTAAAGGGCAAGACTCTGACTTTCCAAGATTTAATAGAATTTGCCCAAACGATTTAGGAAATGAGTAATAGAAAAGGAATATGGTCCAAAGGCTCTTTTTTTTTTTTTTTTTTTTGTAGCTTGGTAAATGTTTACGAATCAACCGTGGGAGCCATCTGTGGGAGGGCACCCCTCATTATGTGTTGCAGAGAACAGCCTTCTGACATATTCATATTGGCTTAGGCACGTGTTCTTACCGCATAGATTCTTTCAGACAGGCTTTTAAATATGGCATATTCCTCAAATCCTCTGCCCGTGGCATCTGATTCTCAGGCAGTACACTCTGAATTTCCTTAAGAAGCTTTTGTTGCACGTGGGGATTACGAGATAAATTGAAGAGGATCCACATTAAGCTGTTTGCTGTCTGAAAGCCAAATGGACATAAACTTGAGTTTTCTGCAAATAAACTGCCTTAAAACCAGTATGAGCTGGACCAAAGGTGATGCCTACCACCTCGTCATGAAAACATTAGGAGTGACGCCTTTTTACATGTCCTTCCTGGCTGTGCTTCAAACAAATGCCCTGTATGAAAAGTCAGATTTAGTTTCTAAAACACATCAACGAATAATAGCTTATTTCCTGAGGGAATCAAAGTAGAATTCTTTAAATAATCAGCTGCATTAGGACGCAAAATATAGTTTGGTACAAAAATTGAACACAAATGAGGGCATGTAGAACTGGCCCAATGAGAGTCGGATGGACGATTGCAACAATATCAATTTCCGGGTTGTGATAACAGTTTATCTTATGCACATGTTACCATTGAGGGAAACTTGGTGAAGGATTAAGGGATCCTCTCTATTTTTTTTCTTAGAATTGCATGTGAATCGATAATTATCTCAAAATGAAATTTGTTAATTGTTTAATATAAAAAATAATATGAAAATTGAATGAGGAGAGAGCCTGAGAGTGTTGCTAATAAAAGTGTCTTTTTTTTTTTTTTTAATTTTGCAATGCAAATGCACAAGAAGTTGCATTCCTGGAATTTAACAGAAAGTTTTTTTTGCCACACCCTCAAAAGTTACCACAAAAATAAAAAGGCATTATCTGACCCAGGGTTTCAGCCTCAAGGAAAGAGCCCTGGTAGGAGGCGGCCAACACCAAAATAAGAAATTCTAGCGTCAAGTTGAGTATTTCAAAGAACCAGCCACAATTTCTGACAAAGACTCATGGCCTTTTAAGTGGCATCCTTTATTTCCTTTCCAAAGGCAATGAGAAGAGAAAAAATATTGGCAGAAACAACCAGTGCAGCTTTTAGCTTCATAATACTCACCACTGGTAGTCTTATGTATTTGTCTTTAGGCCTATTTTTGTCTAATTTAAGCCAAATATTCCCATAAAAATGGTCATTGTGTCCTCTCTGCAGACATGAAGACGCTTTTGCTAAGTGCTATGTGCCACTCACATAAATGAGCCAAGTGCAGGACAATTTGGAGCCAATGGTATTTATTATCTTTGGAAGAAGATGCCTCCAAGTAGCCTTCTTCCTGTCAGAGGACCGCCAGCCTCAGCTGCAAATAAACCGTGGATGTCATTATTACAAGTGTCCAATTTACAAAACAGGAAGAGGGCATAGCCACCAAATTAGATACACTTTCAAATTTCTCTGATTTTCCAAATGTGACTTTCAGAATAGCCAGGACTAAAAAAAGAAACAGATTGAACCGTATCAGTGGGTCCCTTACCGCAAGTACCAAATAGAGTTTCCAAAAGGCAGATAACTGTAGCTTTCACCAAAGCCCTGTAAGACAGCCCTGGCCTTTTAGGATAACTGCAGGGGCTGAATGGAGGGGAAGTGGCCTGAGAAACCTCATGGGCACAAAGTATCCCGGCTTGACCTCCACGGAGGAGACACATCTCATAGCGAGTTGGCCTTGCTATTTCCACTCTCTCTCTGCTAGGTCCATTCTCCATCCACCAGCCAGAGCCCACTTTACAAAACATCAATCTGATTAAGTTCCTCCCTTGTTTAAAACACTCCAAGAGATTTCCATCACAGGTGCAGTAAATCCAAATGCCTCACAAAGGCTCCTGGTTAACAGGGCCCATCATCTTCTCCCCTGTCAACTCTGACCACATGTGCTAGGTCTCCAGTCCATCCTTCTTTCTGCCCAGGGCCTTGGCATGTGCCGTTTCCTCTACTTCGAGTGGTCTTCCACCAGCTCTTCCCTTGGCTGGCTCCTTCTCGTTATTCCAGTGTCAGCTCCAATATGACATCTCAGAGAGAGACGACCTCCCCTACCTCTCTATGACTTCACCCTGATGGCTTCCTCTAGGTCCTGGATCACTATCTGAAATGATCCTATTTCATTATTTATTTACATGTCTATCATCTGTGCCCCAAGACCACTTAAGTTCCATGAGGGGGGGGGCTTCCCTGGTGGCGCAGTGGTTGAGAGTCCGCCTGCCGATGCAGGGGACGCGGGTTCGAGCCCCGGTCTGGGAGGATCCCACATGCCGCAGAGCGGCTGGGCCCGTGAGCCATGGCTGCTGGGCCTGCGCGTCCGGAGCCTGTGCTCCACAACGGGAGAGGCCACAATAGTGAGAGGCCCGCGTACCGCAAAAACAACAAAATTAGCTGTTTCCTTTAAACTGAAATCAAGTGTTTCCCAAACTCCCTCTGTTGACAATTTTAAGCAGAAAAAAATATTATTGGAATTGCAGAGTATGCCAATGTTTTTAGACTAAATAACATCCACGGTTAGGCACTTTGGGGTAACATGCACAGCCTAAAATATATCCAGTTTTTAAAAACCTCGATTATCTACCTTGCTGTGCTGTAGGATTTTACTGCTTCTTAATGCCTGTCGCATTTTGCATATTTGTCGTAGCATTTATACCCTGAACCGGATTTCTGTCTCTAAAGCACATGAATTTTTCTATCATATGTTTAAGCACAAAGGCTGTGCTCTGGGTCTCCTGCACATCTCTAGTATGAGAATTTTTATGTCTGCTAAGCTAATGCTCAGTGAATCCTTATGGAATAGGTGAGTTGAATGACTACGTAAAATTCATCATGAAAAAGATTTTACAGCCCGTTGATTTAGCAAACTAAAACCGGGCCCAGCCTTACCGTTTCCACCGCAGCCAGCTGGAGCTCCGTCACAGCCGCATACAATTCTTTCTTTGAAAGCTGATTGTGGTGATAAGTATCACTAATGAAATCCATACTGGGCTGCTCAGAATATTTCTCTAACCGGTTGTCGACACAAGATTTGACTGTTGGAGAAGAGAAAAAGGGAGAGGAAATCAGCTGAAAATTAGGAGGAGGAAAAGAGTGAAATGGAACCCAGGATCGAATTCTCCTTGCAACATCTAAAGGGTCTTTGCAGGCAATCTGACAATTTGACAATTTGTCAGATAAGCTAATACTGCCTTGTTGTTAAGTCAGCAAGCCCTGACCAATGCCCACAGGAGCAGGGTTTCTCAAATATTAACATGCACAAGAATCCCCCGGGCATCTTCTTAAAATGCAGATTCTGATTCTAGAGTCTGGGGTGGGCCTGGAAGTCTGATTTCTAACAAGCTATCAGGGGATGCTGTTGCTGGGTCTGCAGTCACGTTTTGAGTAGGAAGAGGTTAGAGCTTGGGAGAGGGAGGTCATCATGAGACAGAGGTGGCATTTGGGTCTGTTCTCAGAATCAGAACTTGGTCCCATATCCAAGCATCTAGCAGATATGGTCACTGATACAGGTACAGTGGGATCTGGCTCCCAAATCCTGGCAGCAGAGGAGAGGAGAAACCCTCCACCATTGTTACCAAACATAAACACACACACACGTGCAGTGCCCATGCATGCTGACAGTAATGGTGATGTCTGTCAAGTACATTCTAGGCATGCACCTCCCTCACTTCAATCCATCATACAAGCCACCACCGTAATAATAATCATGGTGATGATGGTAAAAATGATGACAATAAATGGCACAGCAGTTAGAGTTGGATCTTCTGCCTGGCTTCAACCCTGGTTTTGCCATTACCCAGCATGCAATCTTGATAAAGTTACTTAATTTTGTGTCTCAGTTCTATCACTCAGGCCTAATAGAAAACCCTACTTTACAGGGTTTCTGTGAGAATTAAATGAGTGTGTGTGTATACTCAGAACAATACTTAGCACCAAATATTCCCTTCATTCTGTAGCAGAAATAGCTCTGATCCATTGAGATATTGGACTGTGCCAGGTTTTGTTTTTTTTTAGGTTTTGCACAAATTATATTACATATTTTCTTGGCAGGAAATAGTGACAGTTCCCACTACATCATATGCCAGGTTTTAAGTTATCTATATTAGAACTGAAAACAGTTGTACTGAGGTACGTACTACTACCACTATTAACCCATTTTAGAGGCGAGACAACTGAGAATGAAAAAGAGTGCATTTGGCCAAGCCACCACACCCAATGACAGAGCTGGGACTTGAACCCAGGAATCTTTGACTCCAAAGTTCTTGTTTTTAACCACTCCTAGTTCCCAAAGAAGACTACAGAAAACTACCTCCTGCCTTTTCCTAGAATTCATCTGTACCAGGGCGATCCCCAAATTCATGAGTTTGCAAAGCCCAAAAGAATCCGGAGGAGCAACTCCATCAAAGGATGGGGTGCTGAGGCCAAGATCATCCAGACCTTCCGGCAGCAGCTCCGGAGACAGGGTTGCTGGGTACATGTGGCCACGTTACCCGATTTGAAAATGGTGTCCCAGGCCAGAGTGTGCGCCTGCCAGACCTTGGTGTTGAGGCTCTTGTGCAGCTCGACCGGCGTGACCATCATTCTCCCAAATGTGCTCATCATCTGTGGGGAACACAAATGCCTTTTCACCCCTGTTTCTCTTTCTCTCAAAGACAACTTGCACTCCTTGAGAGAAGCGTTCTAAACAACTGCACCCTTTGCTCCCCTAGAGGCCGGAATTCCAAGGATGCCTCAGGGCTCTCAGCACAGTCCCCGGCCACACCCTCCAGGGACATATGAAAATCATCTTTGGGATGCTTTTCCACTGGATGTGTTTCATAAAAAAATTGATCTTATGACCTAAACATAAAAAAAGAAGGATACAAATCTCATATCCATTTCCATTTCCAATAATTTCCAAACTTCAGCCATTCCTAAAACCAGTTTCACAGGGTCTACTATCTCTACATACAACCTAAACAATCCCCCAAATTTTAATCTGAAAATTTTCAGACTCTTTGCAATAGTATTTTAATCAACTGACCTTTAACTGAAATACCTACTTTCACCTTGCCTGACAACGACTGAATGTGCCTTTTTTTATTATATGTACGTCTATGTACGTTCATTCATGAAAATATGCAACACATGTTAAAATGAACACTTAACTACTGTAATCAAATATGTGTGGATGCCACTGTTGGGAAACACTGTGATGCACATTTGTTAGGTTCTGTAAACGTTTTATAAGGAAAGGTTCTCTACCTAGGAGATGCTTACTGTTTTGATGGCCATGATGAAGTTCAAAGCTTCATCGCCTGCATTCTTCTGAAGGAGCCCAAATCTCTTCTCATATAGCACAAGGCAGATGCCTGTTATTTAAAATAATCAACACTGTTACCCATTCACAACGACACTGGCGTCCATGATTAGCTGGCTACCAAAGGCTCAATTCTGTCTCCCATAAAAGTGAGGTCTTGGGCTTCCCTGGTGGCGCAGTGGTTGAGAGTCCGCCTGCCGATGCAGGGGACACGGGTTCGTGCCCCGGTCCGGGAAGATCCCACATGCCACGGAGCGGCTGGGCCCGTGAGCCATGGCCGCTGAGCCTGCGCGTCCGGAGCCTGTGCTCCGCAACGGGAGAGGCCGCAACAGCGAGAGGCCCGCGTACCGCAAAAAAAAAAAAAAAAAAAAAAAGGTCTTTCCGAAGAACAGAGGAAAAGCAAATTCTCTGAGAGAAAGGGGCCTGATTACTCTCCTCTCTTTCTAGAATTATTTCCAGGTCCAATGACTCATCCCCTGCAGAACCTCCTGATCGGAAAAGCCACTGCGAAGATGCAGCCATTTTTGTACATGAGTGAATCTCTCCGGTAATGTCTTGATCTTCTCAGAGTTTACCCTTGATATCATGTGTAGCAGCCATTGTTAATGACCTACTCCATACTCATTCTTGCCCATTTCTTCCCTAAGAGAACCCCGATTTTATTTAGGCTGTCAATGTGTCAGTCCTCAGGCAATAAGTCAGGATTGATCTAAGACAATTCTGTTCCCTGATTTCCCAGGCTTCCTGTAGCAGCCAAAGCAGTCACATGACCCAGGTCTGGCCAATGAGATTCAAGGGAGACACTTTTGCTTTCTTGATAAAGGGGAAAGCACAGCTGGTTTAGCTCTTCCCTCTTTCCTTCTTGTTTTTGCTAGAATGCAGGGGTGAGGCCAGGAGGGGCAGGAGCCATTCTGCAAGAAGCCAACTAGCTCAGGATGGATGAGAAGGAAGACAGAACAGGCTTGGGTCCCAGGGACATCACTGAGTGCCAGCTGTGGACTGGCTTCCTCAGGACTTCTCATAATGGTGGACAATAATTTGTCAACCACCATGGTCAGGTTTTCTTTGACTTGCAAAGAAATGCATTTGATACTCCTTAATCTGGGTATTTCCAGTGGACGATTTCCAAAGCGTACTCTTCTTTTCTCCTCTATAATCATTCCCTCTTTCCCTTAACACCTTCTGTGGATTTCTTATTGGCATGGGGCTTTCTCATGTGCTAAGATGACAGTCTGTAACTTTACAACGAGGTCTATCTGATGGGGGAGACAGGTCAGGACAAAAGCCTCCGTCCCGGGGCACCCTCTCCAGTCCCTCACGTTAGCAGTCAAGAGTGATCCTTCCGGCAAATCGGACCTTGGCACCTTCCTGCTAAGGTGCCCTTAGCCCTCACTCTCCTATCGCTCCCAGGGACTCTGGGCTCAAAGCCAAATGCCCATCCCTGGTTTACAGGACTGACATGGGCTGGCCGCTGCTTCCTCCTATCCTCTGCCCTGGACATCCTCGTCCCTTGCTGGACATGCTCAAGTTACTCAGAACACCCTTCTTTCTCCTCAACGCAACACTCTCTGTTCCTTCAGCCTGGAACATTCCATCTTCCTTCACTTTCACCTGGGAAACTCCTGCTTATCCCCCAGGCCTTGGCTGAGATGGTACCACCTCTGTGAAGCATCCCTGACCATGCTCAGCTGAGGCAGCCACCAGGATTCTCCCCCAGCCTTGAACCCCCTGTCAAGTGCTCCGCATTCTACTGCTACTGCCTCGTTCCCCTGCCTGCATATCGACTGGGCAGCGAGCACGTCAAGGCAGGGCTTTGCTTTTATTCCCAGCGTGGTCCTTGAAAAGTGACCATGCTCCCTTCTGTTCGGAACTTTCCATGGCTCAACATCGGACTCAAAGTAAATGTTTTTGCGGGGACTTTCAGGCCCCGGCTTAATCTTTCTCAGCTCCTCTTTTCCCTCCCCCAATAATCCACTCACACCAGCATCCTCGAAGTTCCCCAAAGACATTATTCATACTTTCACCCCAGGACATTTGCACCTCCTGTCTCCACTGTCCCAACAGGCTTCCCACAGATACCCCAGTGGCTTGCTCCTTGCCTTCCTTTAGGTCTCACCTCAAATGTCTCCTTACCAAGCAGACTTGCCTCACCTAGGAACCTACATTCTTTCTTGACTCCCTTACTCCTTGGCAGAGTATATATTAAAATATATTTACTAGTTGATTGTCATCCCTACTAAAATCTGAGCTCCATGTGAACAAGGATGTTGCCTGTTTTGTTCACTGCTGTGTCCCTAGTACAGTGCCTGGCACATAGCAGGTGTTGTATAAATGTTTGTTGAATGACTACCTAAACAGTCCAGAGGGTAGAGCATCACCTAAATGCCTGAAAGCATTAAGAGGGCTGCTATGGCCTTTCCTACTCAGCAATAGCGTATGATTACAGAAGAGTTGTCCACAGGGCCATGTCTGTCCTCAAAATCACTTGCAAAATCAAATGAACAAGACGTGAAGAAAACTTACTTTCAAATGACCATTTGTTCAGCTCGCTGTACAAGTCTTCAATGCAGCCTCGCTCATCACAGAGCTCACTTATTCTACCTGTAAAATCAGCCAAGACCTTAACAGAAAGAAATCACCAAAGACACATTTCAGTCACTGGAGGAAAACAAAAGTTTCAAGTTCAGTAAGTTAGCTTCAGGTTTTGCTACCTTGTATATTCACTGCCCATAATGTTACTCATTCTGAATCATCACTAATTATATATTCTCCTTGGCAGTTCATCTTCTGCCCCAACACCCTTGTCCTGGGTTATTTCCTGAGCTTTCCCTGCAGCCTCCCTGAAGCTTAGGTTTCAGCTTTTGATCTAAATTTAAGAAAAGGAAAACATTTCTTCTAATCAGAATGGAGAATAAACCACAAAGGAGGAATCAGCCCAGTGTCTCTGTGGGGACAATGTCTCAAGGACTCTGGCTACCCTGAGGTTTGCCACTTCCATAGCTGGGCAGGCAAATGTCTCCTTACTGGTTGGTGTTGTATGAAGCGTGTTAAGCTTAGAGCCAGGGAACTGTAAGTTCTGGACGCAGCGCCTTAACAGCTCTGTCACCTTGGACAGGTCCTAACAGCCCCTAGAGGCCAGTTTCTACAATCAGGGTTTTAGACGACTAATGCTTTGCATTTAATGAGGCTTGTATAGAACGAGGCATGGTACAAAGTGTATTACCTTAGCTGATCCTCAAATAACCTCATGAGGTAGAAAGTACTGTCATTACTCCCATTTCCTAGGTAACAGATGAGAAAACTGAGGCTTAGAGAGTAGCTAAGCCACTCTCCCTTGGACACATAAAAGTGGCTCTGCTGAGGTCTGAAATAGGGTATATGTGACTACGAAATCCACAGGTGCAACTAATGGGCATGTTTAGTTTGTCCACATAGCATGTTAAAAAGTACTTTGAATTAGTCACCATCAAAAAATCCAGAGATTTCACATGAACATATGAATTTTCCATTAGTCATCAAAAAATAATAATAATTACTAGATCTGGTGACACTGGGTCTACATTTCCATGTGGCAGGCATTTGCCAGAGCTGGGCAGCTGTCCCCTCTAGAAAGGGCATGCACTATTCTGCTTGCTAAAATCCCTATTGGGCCTGTCTTATACATTGATATTAATCACCTGGCCCTTGGAAGCTTCTGAATTTGCAGTCTTTCACCTACATGATCCTATGTGGGTCCAGTTCAAAATAAATACTGAGAGTGAACAGGAGTAAAAAGAATCCTCTACATGTTTAAATCCTTCCCCCTTTGGGCCCCTGCTGGCTAAAGGATAACATCTAAAAACCTTAGCGTGGCACAAAAATATTGTAAAGACCTGCCCTCTGCCCAGCATCATTTCAGAGAAAGCTTCACTTCAGCTGCACTAAATGTACTGTTCTCTGAACACACCATCTCATGCCTCCATATTTGCAGCAGGCTATGCTCTCTGCCTGAATGCCTTTTCCCACCTTCTCTGGCTTGCAGACTCCTACTCATCCTAAAAAACCCAGCTCAGCTGTCACTACCTAGGAAGTTTATAGTGTTATCTCATTTAATCCTCACAGTAAACCTATGGAGTGGGAATTGTTACTCCCAGTTTATAGACTGGGAAAGTGAGCAAGTTAAATGGTACAGTCAGGTTACATAGCTGGTGGGGGTGGGGTGACGTTCAAAACCAGGACTGTAGAATGTCAAAGTCTATGCTCGTAACTGCTCCCTTATCGTAATACTACTTTAAAAGGGAGTGAAGGAGGGGGGAATAAGGAAGGAGGATGTGGAGAGGAATGAGGAGAAAAGGAAGACTCCTGAATCATCCAAATTGCCTGCCTTTTCTTCTGCACTTTGTAGCTGTGGCTTGAAGCTCCACTAAATCCCTCCATCCCCAGGAGAACCAGGAAAGCGAACCCCGTCCTGCAAACCTCATTGATTTTATTGTCCAGCTTCATAATTTCCACTGGTTTCATTAGTTTCTTTTGAAAGGCACTCCTGACCCTCTGCCAGTCTTCTCCTTCCCTGGGAGAGAAGCAGAATTATATTTAGAGCAAACGGAAAGGAAAAGAATGAAGAAGCAGAGACACCTCCAGTTCTCTGACTTCATAAACTATATAACCAAATGAACACAGAATCGTGCCAAGAAACAGCCAGAGAACAATTAGTATTGGAATATTTGGGGCTGGTTTGACAATACGATGAATAATCACTTTTCCCTTGAGCCAAAGATTGCACAGAAAGATGAAGTCCACATATTTGGGTTCAGAACTTTTGCTGTGCCCTCGCTGGGGTTGAACTGGGAGGCCAGTGGTCTGTTTCCAGCAGTAAGGGTGGGCACGTGAACACCCACTTCACCAGCAACTCAGATCTGTTTGAGGAAAAAAATCTTGTCTTCTTTCAATTGGGTTGAAAGGCACATTCACAGAACACCTCGAATTTAGAATTTTGCCATTGCCTTCAAATAACAGTGAGAGATTCACCGGAGCTGTAAAAAGCCTGTTCTCATCATGAACCCTTTTGCACTTGCTCTATAGATGACCACGCTGCCTGTGATGTATCATGCATTAATACCGTTTTTAATTCCAGTAATTAGGGCTTCCCTGGTGGCTCAGTGGTTAAGAATCTGCCTGCCAATGCAGGGGACACGGGTTCGATCCCTGGTCCCAGAAGATCCCACGTGCTGCAGAGCAACTAAGCCCGTGCTCCACAACTACTGAGCCTACGCTCCAGAGCTGGCGAGCCCGCTAGCCACACCTAGAAAAAGCCGCAGCGCAGCAACGAAGACCCAATGTAGCCATAAATAAATAAATCCAGTAATTATATATATCCTGAAAAATACGATTATTAGGCATTATAATTTGGGGGTAAAAAAAGTGCTAACGTATTAAATGCTAACAATGTCAAAGCTGAGGAATCATATCACATTAGAGTATTTCTCTCTAAAATGCAACCTCCACACCCCTCCATGCCCGCTTTCCAAGTAGGTCTATCTCCTAATTCCCACAGTTTCCTTTACAAAGGAAGGTCATTGTCAAAAGCAAAAGGAGTTAACTTCTGGCTTTTGAGCTACCAAGGGGGGAGAGGGGCGGGTCTCAGAATTTTAAGGGATAATTTTGTTTGTATAACATGTTTGCCTTGGCACGCTAATTTGACAATCTCATTCCACCCAAGAGTCCAAACATCATAATTCGCGTAACCTTTTTTTTTGACATTTCTTTTACGGAAAGGCCTGGCCCAGCCCCCTTGCCAGAAAGAACACAAGTGTTGCGTACTCAGCCCAGACGTCCCTCCACCCACTCTAGTCCACGCAAGAGCCCGTGACCGCAGCAGGTACGGGCTTCCGTGTTCTCCCTGCATTAGAAGGGTCCAACCCCAGGGAACCCTCATTCCCGTCCCTTCCCAATTTCCAGCCGCCGAACCCCATCCTGCTTCCTGGACTCACAAGATCAGCAGTCCGTAGCCCTCCTCGCGATAGTCGCGATAGGCCTTCCACGGTTTGATCTCCAGACGCTGGGGGTACGCGCTCTCCGTGCGGTAGAGCGCTTCCAGCAGACACGGCGAGCCCAAGTGCACCGAGTCGAAGGAACCCAACTTCATGCGGAAAATCTTGCCATATTTCTCGTGGTACTCCGCCTGCAGCGGGCCGGGCAGGGTGCGAAGTAAGCGCGCATCCGCTGCAGAGTCCCAAGAGCGCTTCTCCCTCCTCCCCGCCTCCTTCCTCTCGGGGACCGGGGCCCGCTGCAGCCTGGACACACAACCGAGCGCACCGTGCGCCCGAACCGCGCGCCTTGGGGAGGGTTTGGAGAGCAAGGCGGGGAGCAGAACGGGAACTGGGGGCGCGACGAGGCATTTACCAGCGTGTCGTGCTGTTTCTTGAGCCCTCCTTTCCAGAGAATCTCCAGCAGACTGCCCAGCAGTGGCCACTTGGTGGGACCGGGCAGGGCGGCCGCGTCTTGCGCCTCGCCCTGTTCCATCATGGGGCAGAGGGGCACCTCCCGCGGCCGACGGGGCGCGCACGCCGTAGATGTCACGGGTCTGGGGGGCTGCCCCAGGCTGCGCAGCTCCTGTAGGAAGGCGGCAAGGGAGCGGCTCTTGCCGATGGGGGAGCTCATGGCAGCGGGGGAGACCGGGCGCTTGGGAATGTGCGGGGGCTGGGAAGGGCGAGGTGGCTAAAGAGGCGCCGGCGAGAGCTGGGGCCTTGACGATTCTGCGGAAGAGAGGCAAAGAGGGGCAGCAGGTGTGATGGAGAGGGCGGAAGACGGACAGAGAGCAGAAAGGAACTCGGCGAGGATGCTCGACGCTGCACCGCGCGGCAGCCTCAGGGAGCGGATGCCCGCCTAGCGCTGGCCGCAGGGGCTGGAGGAGCGCAGCCGGGAGTTGGGTGGCTCTTGGAAGAGGAAAGGAAAGGACGTGAGTCCGCCTGCTGGTTGCAAGTCTGACTTCCAGCTCTGGAGTAGCGAAGTGGAGGTGTCTAGGAAGGTAGAAGAGATGCTGCTGGCGCTGCGCTTTCCTCCTGTCCCTCTCCATGCTCCATGCCCGGGAACCATGTATTTATGGAGACAGGGCAGGCCCTGGGTGGCCAATGAGCACGCTAAGTGGGGCGGAGTGGGTTACGGCTGGCCAGGCCCGGAGGGACGCGGGACCCGGGGTTGGGGGTGGTGCATGGAAGTAGGATGGAGTCAGCGAGGTGAGCGAGGGCGCCGGGCCTCGGGTGACCGGAGCGCGGCTCTCCGGGCGGGAACGCCGCGGACTCCACCCTGGAGATAATCCCCCAGGGAAGGCACGCTCACTGGAGTTCACCGGACGTGCGCCGAGCGCGCCTCCCCGCCCTCCCCCGGCGGCCGGGAACTGCAGCCTCGCGCTTGCACAATCGCGCCGCCGCGCTGGCGAGGTCTCCGAGTACCGCCCCGAGGAGGCTGCCGGCGCCTGCCGGAGCCCGAGAGCCCGCGCGTTGCCCGAAACCAGTTTTTTTGCCAGCCTGGACGGAAGTGTTTTTGGAGGAAGGTTGGCTTTGTGCACCTCCCAAGGTGGGGAGGGTTTGAGTCTTAGTGAAAGGCACCCGAAGAGGGGATTTCACCTTAGGGTCTTAACTTGGGCAAGGAGGAGCCGCTGAATTTGGAGAGTTTTCTCCCTAGCTGCTCCATTTTGATTGTTATGAAGATGTAATGAGTGAGTGCAGGTAAAGCACCTACAACGTAGTCCACCGTCAGTACTCCACCTGATGTTGCCATTTTAGCTGGTTATGAAATGAGAGGCAAAAGCAGGGCTCGTGGTTGAGACTGGGCATCTGCCCCTCCCTCCATTTGGACACCGACCACCTTGTGCAAAAGCTAGGCACCTGCACCTTCGAACCGCGGCCCCTACCATCCCCATCCATCCCTACAAAGTCCATCTTAAGCAAGCGCAGGAGGGAACACACCACACACACACACACACACACACACACACACACACACACACACTTCCTAGGGTCCTTGTGGCTGGCAAGGGTAGAACTCTCTGTACTAACCGAGGAAGAGAAGTTGGAGACTTTGCTGATTGTTTTGAAGTGGTTCGTATTCTTTCGTTCTGATCCAGTACAAAAACGACCGCCAGCCAAGGAGGTGAGGGAAGTTCTGTTTCCCCTGAGGGTTTTCAGTCACGTGACTGCGTCATTTTGACCCTGGTGTCAAATCCTTCTCTCGTAAGTTTATTGTAAACTTTTAGCTGGTTTTTTGAAAACCTTTTGCAGACCGACTTGAGCTTGAACTCTGTCATTTCAGATTTGTCTTGATTAAACGTTAATGGCTGTTAATGTTAATAAAAGTAATAGTTATATATTTATATAATTCATACATAATGTATTATATCTATATAGATATCTATATATACACTATATAGTACATATTCTATAGCATATGCTATAGAATATACACTATATGTAATATATCTATATATACACTGTATAGTACATATTCTATAGCATATGCTATAGAATATATACTATATGTAATAGACACTATATCATATATACCATATGTTACTTAGTGTACAAATGTAAAGCTTTCTAGGGCTTATGATAAGCCAGGCACTAAGCTAGACATTTTTCGTAGAATTTCCCATTTCAGCCCAATGGCAAAAAAATAAATGAATAAATAAAGTTAAAATTTAGAGCGTTCTATAATTTGCCCTGTGTCACAGACCTTATCATAATGTTATGTGGAAGTCAGACCCAGATTTTCTGATTTTGGCCTTTACTATGTACCTTCATATACAACATGCTATATTACATCACCCTTTCTTAAACCAGGAATATCTCAGAATATTGGAAATGTTTCTTAAATGGGAATATCTCCAAAACGGAGGTGGGTGGGATCAGTATATGTGGAGCTGTGTGGTGCCAATGTTGTTTTACGCCTCAATGATGGTAAAATAAATAAATAAAAAGCCCCAAACAGAAGAAGCATTCAGTTCACCACTGTGTGCCTTTCTTCTGGCAGGGTGCTTGACACATAGTAAGTGCTCAAGAAATGCTGAATCCTATTGTTCTGTCAGCTATTGAGTTATCTGCCCACCCCCCCCACCCCCGCTGTGTTTTCTTTTCTTTCTCTCTCTGCAGGTGTGCTTAAGCAGAAAGGAAAATAATTTCAGATTTGCTAGGTTTTCACATGAGTTTAGCATCATTTTGCTTTATAAACTCCAAATAGATACTTAGAAGTGCAGGCAGTCGTTAGTCTCATAATAGCCAGCAAGAAAATTCCTATTTCAGAGAAATTGTTGTCTCATGTCCAGTGGAGAAAGTCCCGGATTGCAGAAGAAAGCAGTGCTGGTTCTTTAAAACTTGGTTGACATCAACACATACCCGTCTTTGATGAGGTGCAACTAAATACAAAATGACTACTTTGAGCCCCTTCCCAGAAACTCACTCTCCCTCCCTCCCTCCTCTGTCGCTTGAGCCCCTATGAGTCATCCCGATAGGGATGTTGCTGGGAATTACTAGTGAGAGATCTTGAAGCGCCTGGTACAGGCCCACCATCATTACCAAGACAGGCCCAGGCCCTCTGTTTTGTTCCGGGAAATCTTACCAAGTCCTGAATGGATAATTATACTCCAGCCCTCACACCAAGTGACCGCAGATGACAAAATTCTGTGTGTGTGTGTGTGTGTGTGTGTGTGTGTGTGTGCGCGTGCACATGCGCATTTGTGTGAGCTTGTGTGATGAGGGTGAGGTTGAGGGTCCCGAAGAGGGCAACGGCTGATTTCTCTGTGCTGAGAAACACAGCACTCTCTCAAATATATCAAACGTTAATACATAGTTTTGTGCTTCAGAGCTTTGGCTAAACTAGCGAGTGTGTTGTATATCCACTTACTGATTGTGGAAACTTGAAGGACTTACTTTCCACATCTGTCAAACGGATGGTATTAGAACCAACCACACGGTAAAGGTCAAGTCTCCTGGAAATAAGAGTAATAAAAATAGCCAATCTCGTGGGGTTGCTGTGAGAATAATACATCTATAGTTCTTAGCACAGTAAAATGCTCGGTGAATATTACCTACAATATTACTGTATTGTATGCCATGGTTTTTGCAAACTACATACAAGAGAGGCAACATAGATGTCTCAGTTGTTATACCGAGTGTTCAACTTAATACTGTAGTTTCGACTTAGGAAACTGTATAATTGAATAAAGCCAGAGGAAGACTAGCAAAGAAATCTGGTGAGTTCAAATCCCAGCTCAGCCACTTAGGAGCCGGATCAACCAGCGATAATTTACTTTTATCTCTGTCAGGCTTGGGTAGCTCATCTCAAAGTGCTGATAATGAGAGGACCTACCCAGTAGGGTTTTTCTGAGGATGACAAAGCACTGAAAGTCCTTGGCATATAGTAAAGGTTTTAAAATGTTTATTGTTAACATTAATAAGAATTAACAGGGTTTGGGCTCTCAAATAATGAAGGTCATAATCTCTGTTGCATTTGTCTTGGGGTTTCCTGCCTGATAAGACACACACAAAAAAAATCCTTGAAATTACAGACATTGTCTCCTTTTTTTTTTTTTTTTTTTGTCTCTGCTAGAGCAAATGACACAGTGCCACCCCTTTTACCTTGGCCAGCATCCAATAAGCACATAATAGGCAATTGATCATTGATGATTTCCTCATTGCCAAATGAAAAGAGAAAGATTTGTATCAATACATTCTTTGTTTTCTGAGGAAGAAACTGTTGGAAAATCCCGGAGGGTTTTATTTGAGTGTCATACAGGAAGCAATTCTATATGACAAAAAGAATAGCTTGGCTTTCAACAGCTTGGGTTGAAGCCAAGGCTCTACCACTCACTAGCTGTGTGATCTTAGGCAAATTATTTAACCTCTCTGAGCCTAGTTTCCTCATTCATAAAATTGGGGGTTACTATACTTATGTCTTAGGAAGGTTAAGATGAATATTTGAAATATCAGCCGAAGTGCAATCAACCATTGTCTTCACAAACGTCCATTTGGCCCCTGTATATGCTTGATAATTTCTGAGTAGAATTCAGCCCTTTTGGTAAATTATACTATGAAAAAAGGTATCTTAAAGCCTCCAAAATGCAGTTACATGGAGAGAACTTTTGTAAATGTTCGTTAAAAGAGCAGGTTCATTTCTAAGGAGATGAAAAACACAGGTATACACTCAAGTTTATCAGTCATTTTACTATTTATTTAGTAAATTTATTTAGTAAATTTATTTATTTAGTAAATTTAGGCCACATCATGAGGCATGTGAGATCTTAGTTCCCTGACCAGGGATTGAACCTGTGCCCCCTGCAGTGGAAGTGCAGTATTAACCACTGGACCGCCAGGGAAATCCCAACAAATTGTAATTTATTGAAGAGCTACTATGTGTCTGCCAGATATTTTGTATCTCTACTCACACAATTGGTAAGTTAAGTGTTATTTCCCATTTTGTGTGAGTAAACTTGTTTCTTATAGAGTTTAAGCCAGACCTGAGTTTGAACCCACCATGCTACATATTACCAAACTGGTCCACCTTGTCCTCACCTGCAAAATGGGAATAATAATAGGGGCTCTTATATGTTATTATAACACTGTAGTTTTACTTGTAACTTGAGTTCTAGCTTGCTTCAGGAGGTCCCTGACGGCAGGAAGACTGTCTGTCTTCTGCTGTATTCTTAGTACCTATAACTATGCTTGGATCAGTCAAGGTGCCCAATAAATAATTGTCAAATAAGATATTGCAAAATAACAAAGATTAAATGCCTTACGTGTTACAGCTGTACTTGTTCTATTTGGTTGATTCTGTGGTTCTGGTGAAACACAGTTCCTGTGTTTAATTACAAACCTTATATATAAAAAGACATTTTATTTCCTTTTTTCTTTTTTCAGAAATATCTGGGGAAATCGAGGTCTGTATGTAGATGTGCCCTCTTTAAAGTAATAGAGCATCTCCACATAAAAATGGAGAAAATCACACAGAAACGAAGACCCAACATAGCAAAAATAAATTAATTAATTAATAAAATCCTACGCCCAACATCTAAAAAAAAAATGGAGAAAATCAATTAAATGAATTAATATTTTGAATAGTGTTTCTTTTTTTTGTTTGTTTTGTTTTTTTTGCTGTACGCGGGCCTCTCACTGTTGTGGCCTCTCCCGTTGCAGAGCACAGGCTCCGGATGCGCAGGCTCAGCGGCCATGGCTCACGGGCCCAGCCGCTCTGCGGCATGTGGGATCTTCCCGGACCGGGGCACGA